CACTTTATACTCCATATGCATAAGCAACGGCGCTTGCTTATTTGCAGCAGCCAATCCAATCGGAACCTAAAACAATGTGATAATAATGCAGATTTAACTTTTCTTGATATGAAAAATTAAATAAATAAAAAAACTTATATTACCCTGGCTTTGTCGTCCTGACTGAGAAAAAAAACTTCTTTTGGACCAAGGAGAGATGATATCTCTTCAAGACGCCTGATTGTTTCTGTACAGAATTTCCCATCAATATGTTTGGCATGTTTATCATTTTGGGATCTAATTAACTTAACTGGGACAGTTTTTATGTGCCTCTTCCCTTCTTGAGTTGCGCTGTTTCTTGGATTCAATCGAAGATAAGTACCGCTTCTACTAACTTGAAAACCTAGCTGAAAAATAAAATTTAGTTTCCCTAAAACCGATAAATTAAATGGTGCGTTTATTTTTCTATAAACTTATCAAATGTAAATTAAATAGCTAATTGACAAAAAAACTTAAATCGATTAAAAAAAGAAACAACTTCATCAATAAAAGTTTTATAAATAATTAACTAAATGAGATAATTTGCTTAGTATACTACAAAGTCAAAGTATTTACTTTTTCACGGTAGTCCTAATTCTCAAAACTACAAGTTACCTCTTTTAAAGTTTCAGTCAATTCACTTAACGTTTTTGTACTTCTAACAACAGCAGCTCTTCTTTTTTCATGAGCTGCTGAACCGTAAAGAGCAATGTCACAAATAGTTTTTAGTAAATCCGGTTGTTCTTCTTCAATTTGTGGACGCCCACTTGTCATTTGAAGGTGAAGAGCCTTTTTTGCTGATGGAGATGATTTGCATAGCTTTTTTAAGGCTTCCCTCCTATTACTTCTGAACTTTTGGCTTCTCAACATTGAATCTTTTTTCTTCTTTTAGTTCTTTTCTAGTTCTTTTTTCTTCTTCTTCTTTTCTATAAGCTCATTTTCTTGCGCCGATGTTAACTGTCCGCATTCTTTTCTCTTCATCAACCCAGTCAAATCTCCATTAATCAAATTAATTTCTTGTTTTAGTGAATCTTGAACTTTTCTCTCCGTCATAGCACATCGCACAATTAAATCTGCAGTACTTGATTTGGTTACTTGAGATGGTTCTGCTACATAGTCAATTTCATCAGAGGCTACGTGGAATAAAGTTTTTGATTTATCAATTTCAACAAGATTTGATTTGTTTTCTTTGTCATGAGAAATTGAGGATTTTGTTGCAGTTGACGACCAGTAATTAAACAACTATCCTTTTACTTTCATTGCTTTTGTTGAATATGTGTTTAATAATTCTTTTACTTTTTCAGGAAGTTTTTCATCATTTTTTATTTCATTCCATAAGATATTTATTTCTTTTTGGCAGTTTTGTTTTGACTTAGAATGGCCATAAGCTTTTACAAATCTTTCGTATAGTTCTTTGTATAAAACGCCTCGATCCATTTTTTAATTTGATTATAAAAAAATTGTTAACGATAAAAAATAAAAAATTTTGAAAGACAAAACATATAATTGTTGCGTCACAAAATCTCCGATTTTGTGACGCAACAATTTTTTTTGCGACAACAGACCCCCCCTCCCCCTCGTAACAAATCGTCACTAACCCCTCCCCACCCCTAGTGCGTGACGTAATTTATGGACGACCCCTAAGACACAAGCAAAACCCTTTTCTCTTAGTAACAGTCTCCAAGACCACACCTGTTAGAGCAATTTTATGAATTTGAAACCATCTAGTTAGTGGGACAGTATGGGCGAGCATGCTGATGAAGAACTATTTTACATGTTGAGCAAATTCCAGATGCAAATATTGGATCATTGAAGTTGTATTTAGAAGATAAAAAAGTTTTTATAAAATGAATTAATAGAAGACTAAGTAAGGTTTTTTTTTTTTTTTTTTTTTTTTAAATAGTATTTATTTACAAACTTTTATAAGTTTACATTATCTCAACGTGTTTAAAATTAAAGTTACAATCTATCATTTCTTTTAATACAACTAATACTATGACTAATTTTCAAAATAAAATAAGTTTCACTATGATTACAATAACAATGGTGTTACAATAATAAGAAGATGAAAGAAGTTACAATAGTTACCATGGTTATATATATATATATTTTAATTTTTATTTTTATTCATATTTTGATTTTTTAATTTTTATATTTTTTTTGTGTTTTTGTATTTTATATTTTTTTGTATTTTTCGATTTTATATTTTTTTTGTATTTTTTTTTTATTAGAGTCCCATTGTGCGGAGAGAAATCGAAAGGTTTGAAAATGTTAAAGAGGAAGAATTTTTTAAAAAAAGAATTCAAGAAGTTTTTGTTTAAAGGAAGGAAATTTTAATAATATAACAGCAAAAAATTACAAGACTTTTACACAAACATCACATTACGTACGCTACAGAAAAACATTTAAAAAGGGAAATTATAATTCTTAAAATAAAGGCTGGCAGTGATTTTTTAAACATAAGTAATAATATTTTGTTGTAAAAATAATAATTCGTAGAGAAATGGAATACATCACTAAACATATAGTTCTTTTATTGAGCTAGCGTGTCAGTTTAGCTCATATGTTTGGTTTCAGTCTTCCGTTTTCTACTTGGCATATTATATCTTTAACACAAAAAAGTTGACAGAAAATGTCCGTAGTGTTTCTACGGACATGATAATTATATTTTAAAGTAATAATATTCCTGATTTTCCTGATTATTACCCTGATCACTGCCATTGGATTGATTTTCATGTTACTAAACATGTGGTGGCATCTGCTGTTTCATATCTCACTCATGATGATTTGAGTGAGTGTCAACAACAGTTGCGAAATAGGGTTTTTTTCCGATAAATTCGCGGTTCCGATAGAGAAAATCGAATTTATTGGAGAAAAACCCTTTTGGGACGTCAAGGAGTTATCTACATGTTTAAAATATTCCCAAATTTCAACAGAGGGAGAACAGAAGGCAAAGATGTGAAGGTTGTCCTCGATTTTACCACAAGTTTTACATTTGTTGTTTTTGACAATCTGTTGCCTTGTGCTTTTGGCTAGCAAGGCCGCAAAAGGTAGGCTGTTGTGCAAAAATCCAAAGAGGATGTTTTGAGTCGGTCCGCATGCGTAAGAGGTAAAGTTCTTTTTCCAAATTTGGGTCCACGGCATTGTTGTTTTTGTTGAACCGTTCCAGAAAAATTCCGCTGGTACGACTGTCTTTTTGTTTTTTGCAACTTATAAGTAAAAATTTTTTGTTGATTTTAGGGGGATGTTAAAAATGGACCCGTGTTTGCCTAAGATTTCAATAGTTGTTTTGTAGTACTGTGACATTTTGTTGTCGCAGTGTTTTGGAAAATTGTTCTGTTTCAAAAAGTTCCAGCTTGGGTTTTGGTTAGTAAATTTAATAAGTGAGCTTGCTAACCAGTACTTTAAAAAGTAGTAATTATCGTGGGTGTTATCCTCTCCGCGTTCTTTCAGTTGATATAGTGTTTTGAGGCGAAGTAAGGTTACCGCTTTTCTGTAGCATATTGCGCATACTTTTTGTCTTGATTTAGAATGACATGGAGAATAGTTTGGCATTTTATTTAAGCAGGTGTTTAAGTTCTTTTGATTTTATATTATTTATGAAATATCTTGTTATATTAGCTATCATAAAGAGAAATTTTAAATAAATAAGTTACAATAAATACAGTGTTTTCAAAAAATGATTTGAAGTGAACATATGATAAAGTTATAAACATCTAAAGTTTTTCAATATACGTAAATATAGCATTTAATTTTTGTAAAATGCCATATTTCATCAGGACGGAATGTTACAATTTTTTGGAATATATTTTTGGAGTCGCCAGACATAAAGCTAGCAATATATGTAAACAGTTTTTCTGTACAACTTTTTTCAATCTAAAGTTCATTCAGCGACACTGTGTTGGGGCACCTAAATATACGGAGAAAAAAAAAAAAAAAAAAAAAAAAGTTTTGAATTACTTCATTTCTAATTCACTCCCAACAAGGCTGCAAGCAACCGCAATTAAGTTTGGAGTAACTGGAAAATTAAGAATAAAGTTTTCATAATATTTTGAATTAAGTTTCCATAAAAGGCCAGAAGTAAACGATAATCTAAAAAGAAGTAAAGAAGAGAACTCAGTGCGAGGGTTGCTATTTATTAATATAATAATGCTGATAGTATTGCGATAGTTGTTTGCAGTATATAATCGAGTTTTGGAGTAAAAAATCATCGTCCACCGCAAGCTCTAATCTGTTACAGAGGTGAGATCAGATTCAAGGTCGGCTGCACATTCTGAAGGATCGAAAAGAGAAAACTTTTTCAAGACAGGAAATTAATTTAAGTCATCTGCAAACATAGCCACTTTAAATGTAAAGTTGTCAGGAAGATCATTAATGTAGATAAGAAACAAAACAGGACCAAAAATAAATCCTTTAGGTACCCCTGATTTTACTGGAAATGAAGATTATGGCCTTCGAGGATGACTTTAATAAAGCGGTTAAAAAGAAATGATTTGATAATCTCAAAAAAACGTTCCCGGATACACCAATGATACAATACACGAGACGAAGCAAGCTATAGAGAAGTCCAGCATGCCAAACGTTATTTAAAGCTTTAAATATGTTAAAAGAATTTGCCCTTGCTTTTACCTTTTAAATATAAACTAAAAAAATTAATACAGTCAATTGATAATACGGTCAGGTACTTTCAACTTAAGCTATGTAAACCGGTTTGAAACTTTTATGGCAAAATACGTGTTCAGTAAATGATAAAAAGACGTCCTCGTTTTAATAAGGTTAAGTAAAATATGTTGTTTAAATATTACAAATTATTTACTTATTAAGCTTAAAACAACTAATAGTGCTCATCTCGGATGTTTGATACGTAATACCAGAACATTTTAAAAACAACTGTTAACGAAGTTGCGAAATGAGCGAAAATTACAATAACAAAGCATTTTCTGGTAGTAAATCTACGAAACAATTAAAATAAAAAAAATCAATTGAATAGCTAAAATATAATGCAAATTTATATTCGTTTAAATGAACCACTCAATATGGAGTAGTATTTGCAAATGAAATACATTTATATATATATACAAAACTTTAATGAGAGAATTTTCATACACACTAAGTACAAACGATCTTCACTGGCTAAATAAAACCCCAGTATAAAATTGATATTTAACTTCAAGCAAAAGTCTTACAGAACTTTTTTTTATCTTTGAAAAAATTCCGCGCCATTGAGTTTTTTTTTTACCAATACAAAAACATAAGTCAAATAAAATTAAAATAATCTATTTTTGATAAGTTTAATTTGACGTATTTATGCAATAAATTATTTGTTAAAAAAAAAAAAAAAGGCAAAAAAACAAACATCAGATGTCACATAATAAGCTTACTTTATTAATAACAAAAACATGCAGAACGATTTTTTTTTTTTTGCATAATTATGTCCAATTAAACACTTATTGAAAATATTGAAAATGGCTGCACATAGTACTATATTTTGTAATTTTGTGGTGTCTGCATCAACGAATTTAAGATCCAGTTAAAACATACAGAAAAATAATTCACAGCGTAAAACAAAAAAATAAAATAAATAAGTAATACGAGTGCTCTCTGAGATAAAATATTGGTATTAAGGAAGGTTAAATTGTAAGATTTCTGACAAATCAAGTCAATAATTTAGTCAGCTAAAATCCTTTTATAAACTCACATATTGGAGAATAAATACTCCCTTAAAATATGCAAGTGCTGTTTGCTTATCGGATCATAGAGGGTTTAAGCCAACACCGTTATCTAAGAATCGCTAACGAACATTTACAGTAGAACACAGTTATTTTTTTTCTTTTGACCACCTTTTGCACGTGTACTTTCAGGTTGACGCTGATTAATTTGACGAACAAGATCGTGAAAAATTTCGTTCACGTTTATTTTCATTTTTGCGGAAGTTTCCAAGAATGTGCTTAAATTAAAAACACAACATACAACTTGTGGTTAACAATAATTAAAGAGAATTCACAGAGGACTACAATAAAAGAATAAAAATATTGAGACAGAGTTAACAGAGAATTACATATAGAGATTGACATAAAATTACATTTATAATACAACTTAAGCCATAAAATGGAGTTTTTTTAGTTTTCCTTTAAGGCTAGTTACTTTACCACAGCTTAGAAGCAAAAAAGTAAACATATCTTTTATAAAATTTTGACAGCTATTTTAATTTTAGCAGAATTTCAAATGCTTATTAACAGTTAAAAATTTTACGATTAAATTGATTAAAGATTAAACTTACCAGTTCCCAAACTGTTTGGCTAAATTTTGCCCTTGATCTTTACCGACTACTCGTTCTTCTTCTAAATCACATTTGTTTCCTACCAGAACCATTGGTACCTTTAAAAATATAGTTGTTATAAAGTGTTATAAAGTATGAATTAAGGATATAAATGTAATCATGATTTAAATTAAGAATAGAAAACAGGGATAAAATGTTACCAAAACTACAAAATAACTGTTGTACTCTTTGTTTTAAAATCAGAGCACATTAAAGAATTTTTTTGTTTTTGTTTTGTTGAAAGTTAATGTTAAAAAATTAAAAAAAAAATTTCTTGTATTTTTCACATAAAGCAAAACAATAAGATCATACATTTTATAGAGAACTCTTATAAACTGGTTAAAAATAATTTCACTTCACAAAATAGTAAAACTCATCAACAATGTGCCTTTGTGTTAAGAATACACATGGAACACATGGAAGAAAACACATGGAACACACCAGCATATGATAGATTTTAATATTAAGATTATATTGAAGAAATATAAATTAAGCATAAAATAAACTGATTAAGCGATAAATATAAAAATAAAGAATATAATGAAATTATCAACCATGTTAACTAAGATTACTATATGTCATAAGTTTAATTGAATTTAATGATTTTGTTTGTTAAAGATAATCGCCATAGAAACTATTTGCCACCATTGTTCATAAACCTTATTAAGATATTAAGAAATTGTAATATTATATAACTGCAAAAAAAAAAAAAAAAAAAAAAAAAAAAAAAAAAAAAAAAAAAAAAAGCAGTACGATTAGCAACAGTGAAGTTCCAGATCATAATCAGAAAACTATTACAGAAATAAATACTTAAAAATGTTTGTTTACACATTTTTATTTTATCAATCATCATGCATCTCATGATCCAAAACTTAATTTAAACTATACATTGATAAAAAATTTAAAATACGCACTAAAAATAATAAAAATATGGCTAAGAATTTTTTAACTATTAGCTTGCAAGATATATTTAAATCAAACTTTATCTTACTTATATATGCTATTATTACATATTATTTCTATTAATTTTTAAGGTTTTATTTCCTTACTGTTGCATCTTTATGCCACTATACTATTACCAAGAACCAATATTAATTTTGTTGGACCACCCTCTTTATGCAGATCTGTAGTCAAGATTTTCAAAATAGCAAATAAAATAAAATTAAGATATATTTTAAACTCCTTATTTTACTATTTACATACTATTATTACTTATCTCTATTAATTCCTGATTGTTTCCTTATGGCTGCATCATATTTCTTTGCAAAACAAACTTTGACTTTGTTAGAATTGCTTAATTTACAATTTTATTTTGAAAAATAGCCTATAGATTTATATTAAAAAAAAAAGACAATCCATGTATATCACGATTCTTGAACCACAATATACATCGGAGGATGAAAATGAAGAAAACATCAAGAAAAATTTTTTTTGCCCTCCACAATTTTCAAACAACTTACATCATTAGTATCTTTAACACGTAAAATTTGATCACGAAGGTCCATTAAGTCATTAAATGTACTTTGTGCAGTAATAGAATAAACCAGCACAAAACCTTGGCCATTTTTCATATATAAATCTCTCATAGCAGTGAATTGTTCCTAAAATTTATTTTTATATAAATTTATAATACTTTCAAAAACACATTTTGATTTTTCTGATCAAAAAATAAATAACCAAATAAAAACTTACTGTTCCTGCTGTATCAAGTATTTCTAACATTGCTTGAGCTCCATCAACTTCAACTTGCTAAAAATAAAGACTACTGTAAAATTAACTTCAGTTTTTTCTTTCATCTAAGTAAATATGCTATGATTAAAAAAAATGAATGAATAAGATTACTGTTATTACAAAATTTATATATTTATATAAATTTAATATAAAATATTTATATTAACTATTTAAGAGTATAAAACTCAAAATTCTTTTGTAAAATAATTTACCTTTCGATAAGAATCTTCAATAGTAGGATCATACTTCTCAACAAATATACCTTGAACAAATTGAACTGTCTATAAATAACAATTCAACAGAAATAATAAATTGAATGATACCATTGCTAGAGGATATTAATTTTTTTTTATAACATAATACAAATGAAATATATCTAATATGAAGTTTTAAAACCATAAAAAGATCTAATACTATAAAGAAATATATTAAGTTATATTTTTATTAAGTACTTAAAACTTGCAGTTGAGATAAAAAATCAAAAGTTTACCTGACAAGTTATGTTAATTTATTATAAAAAAGAAATCTAATAAGAGTGCTCAGTTAAAAATTAATTAAATTGCAATATAGTTTTTATTTTTTACTACTTTTTATTACGTTTTTAATAAACCACTACTGATTCATGATTTTCTAATCTGTATACTTCTATAATTATCAAAACAATGATACTATTTTTTATTAAGTTTTTAAAAAAGTAATTGAACTATTATTTGCAAAAAGTATGAGGTCATCAAAAAGGTCCGGAATTTTTGATACAATTAAAAAAAAAAAGACAAATAATAATTTGTTTTACATATATTATTAGTAAATAGTTTCATATTTACTTTTACATATTTATTTTATCATTTATTACCAATATAGAGTTAAACTAATAAAGAAGATATTTATGTTTATGAACATGCAAATTGGTTAAAACTCATTAAGGAGTTCTTTTAGGTATCACTTAATCAATTAACAACTGAAGCCACAGTTCTTTATCAGATATAGAACTAACAGGGATATATTTAAAATATACAGTATATCAAAATATTTTCTTTTAATGTCTTAAATCAATATGAGAATGAATTATTGATTACATCTTTCCTGGTATATCAAAATACTGAAAACATGAAATTAAGTTGATGCCACAAGGATATCAACTTTAACTTCAAGTAAAACCTTGAGAAATGATGAAGATAAACAGGTTTAAAATATTCTTTTAACATCTTGGTCAACTTAATGAAATCGCTTGGGTACTTTAATGAAATTAGAAATAAAATTTCTACCAAACAAAACAAAAGATTAGAGCAATATTCAAGTTCTTCTTGCTTTGTAAATTTATTTACTTTTATTATTTTTAAAACATCATTCATTGTTAAACCACTATTAAAGAGAGTGTTAGGCTTTCTAAATATTTTTAAATTTTTTTTACTTTTGTACAGGTGATGACTAAAAATGTTAAAAAACAAATGTTGCACAAATATTAGGGTAGTTACAACTTTTAAATAATTTGACAGTTGACAAAAGCAACTAATATACTAGTCGACTCAGATAAATTTTTGAAATCAAATCAAAACCAATTTAATCAAAATAATTAAGTAATTTTTATTTGCTTATATTTTTTAAAATACTTAATATTTTTAATAATAATTTTAATAATAATAATACCATTTAAATATTATTAAAACAAAACAATATAAAAGTGGAGCCGCTCCAACAACACAATGATAAACCCCAAAAGATTTAGGGACCTCATTAAATTTTTTAAAAATATCGATACGTCTATATAATCATATTTACAATGAAATTGCATAGATGAAATTTACATTTTGAAGATTCAAAAGCTTTCGAAGACCCAAGAGTTAAGAGTGAGCTTAGATAGCATGTATAAAAATATTTATAAAAACCACATGCACAGAGTGAACAAAAAAAAAATTTACAAACCGAAAATTTAATTAGGTATAAACTATGATGCTATGAATTGAATAAAACTTAAAGAATAAATTAAACTTTTAGCTGATTAGTAGGAAATCCCCGGTCCAGGCCTTGTTTTAAAGTGTTACGCTGCTAGCAATTTATGTACGCGTACAGCTATTTTACGTGAGCCTAAAGCCAATTTCCATTGACCAACTTTTCACAATTATTTAACTTTTAATTTAGTTGATAAGAAATAAGATAAAAAAAAAATAATTTCATAAAAAACCACTTAAACATTTGAATGACAATTATGTAACAAAGTTTGGTACAAAAATTTAAATGGCAATTATGTTAGATATAAGCATTATTTACTAATGAAAAAATTCAGATCAAATTAAAAACTAAGAAAACCTAATCTCTATTAAGCTAATTATTTTATTGAAAATTTTTAGTAACAGAAAACAAAATTGTTTATAGTTAACAACAAATTTTTTTTGTATACAAAGTTATTAAACAAAACATAAAAAAAAAATTAAAATTTTTTGATCCCAAATAAAAAAAAATTTATTTAAATTTCTATTTAGTAATAAAAAAAAAAATATATTAAAGAAAAAAAAAGTTAAATATATATATATATATATATATATATATATATATATATATATATATATATATATATATATATATATATAAAATTATATATAAATAATTTATATATATATATATATAAAATTATATATAAATAATTTATATATACATATACATAAAAAATATATATATATAAAATTAACGTAAATACTTGGGTAATAACTTAACTGCGAAATTTATTTATAAATATTGTTCAATATTTAAATTTTATTTTTTATCAAAAAAGCTCATTTTATTGCAATTACTTTTAATGCAAATGTGCTCCGAGGCTGCACCGATAATTTGATCAAAACTTAAAGTAAATTTTTTTAAATAAATGGTATGTACAGCAACACAATTTAAATAAATAGTGTTAGGCAAAAAATTATTTTTAATTGCAAAGTTGCAATTAAAAATTTAAGAAATAATAATTTTTATTAAAAATTATATATTAATTCATTAATACTAATGTCAAGACGAAAAAGAATTTTTTTATATCAAACATTTTTAAAAATGTAATATTAAAATTAATTATTTAATATAAAGAAAAATTAAAAGAAAATTAACATTCTATAATAGTATTTTTACATTTATTTAACTTGTTTGGCGAAAATTAATAATATTGCAGTAGTTTAAAAAGTTAATTTCTTAACTTTTTAAACAACTTTAAGAAAAAAAAAGAAGAGAACTTTATGATGCCAAATTCACATTAGACATATACAACACATACAATACATTAAGGATTTTTTTACTTAAAACAAGGCCTGATAGCCTATTAAAGCAACTTAAAGTTGACTCATCTTGATTTTAAAAAGTTGGAATATTCAACTTTTCAAAACCAATAGTCAATTTAGTTGAAATTGAACACTAACAATTATATTTACAGAATATTTTTTGGGAATCGAGAAAAGGAAAAGTTGAAACAATTACCCATAATTCCAGATATAGCTGGAAAAAGGTAATCACTACATTATTGCACTATTAAATAATTTTTCTTGCAGTTCTCATTAAATAATATTTCAAATACTAATAATAAATAACAGACTTTTTTTTCTGTTTCTATTTGAGCATGTTTCTCTTTCTGCTTTTATTAAAAATTATTGGCTTACTTGGAAACCATACATTATATGGTAAACTGAATACTAAATCTTTGGTATATTGTATAATAGCAATCTCTAATATATTATAAATACAATAAAAAATGATATTATTTTTTTAAATTACACTAGACTTTCTCAAATACTTTCATCCAAAATTATCTAAAGATACTTTGCATAACATTAATGTAAAACTTTACATTATTTATGAATAATATGGTTAAATAGTTTAATTATTATAAATTTAGTGGTCGATTAGTAAATAATATAATGGTATAATTATTGCCTAATTCAAAAAAATAATAATAAATATATTTAAAGCTTTTCTACTTTTATTCTACTCAATATGATTCTAATATACAATTATATTAATAATTGATTAGTTTTTCCTGCTAAGGGTTAAATTAAAAAATTAAAAACTAAAAAACCTAGTGTCTGAAATGTTAAATTTTTTTATAACATTAAACTGTAAGTTATTCGTTAACAAACTTCCAAGAATCTGGAAAGTTCATAGCTATAACATAGGAGTAACTAGAAGGCAGTCAAAAAATCTCAAAACTTAGCAGCACATAAAAAGTATTTATAGAAAGTTTAATATTTTTTTATAACCAAATTTTTCTTTAATCGGAAAAAACTACTATTCATATTTTCAAGAGAATAAATAAAAAAATAAGAATTAGAATATAAATGAAAAAAGTAAAAAAAGGTCAAAGGTCAAATTCTTTTAGAGCATTAGTTAAAAATCAAATATACAATGAAAGTGTATAAAAACATCATTATTAAAACTTTATTGTAAATAAATTAAATGACTT